CTAACCAGTAAGAAGAGGGCACACATACTCCTGCCCTGAGGGAGACTGTGGTCTGCAAGAGCCATGCTGCAGGTGGTCTTAGTGAAGGCTCCCTCTGACCTAACAGGCTGGACACGCTGTACTCACACAGACCTTGCTCCACTTGGGCTCTGATCCCAAGTCTTCCATTTCAGACAAGTCTGCTTTCCTCTTTGGATCCCTAACGGCTTCTTCATACGATCTGCATGTAACATGTTCATCTATATCCCAGCTGGGCACTAGACTTCAGTTCTGAACATGTGCGAGAACCACAACGAGAGCCACATCCAAACCCTTCCTCTTAGACAGTTGTGTCCAGCTTGAGATATGATGGAAAACAGCTCGATGTTCTCAATGTGTTCCACACACAGACCAAAGACATAAAGACAGTTAAGAATACATACTCCTCTACAAAACCTCCCTTCTCCTGGTTGAGAGTTCCTAAAGAGAGCCACTAGGCACGCTGGCACACACCTGTAATCCCAGCACTTGGGGAGGCAGAGGCAGGCTGATCGCTGTGAGTTTGAGGCCAGCCTGATCTACAGAGTGAGTCTAGGACAGCCAACGTTACACAGAGAGAAACCCTGTTTAAAAAAACAAAAAAAGAGTTCCTAAAAGAAGGCGGAATCTGAGATCAGTGTCACTGGGAGCAAATCAAGACAGTGGTAGTCACTGCCTTGTACACAACCGCTGTTCCATCTCTAACATACCAAACTGCTTCCGAGGTTCAAGCGGGGCTTGAGAGGCTCTCACATGAGGTTCAGGATTTCAGGGCCTCCATCCCACAACACTCACGCACAAGCAGACGCCTACAGGAAGGCTCAGGTGCTGACCTTTCCCAGAGACCCAAGCACCGTCCATATCAACGGCCCCCTGACAGGGGGCACCTGTCTTTGGCAGTAAAACCCATGTGACTGGGCACTGTTTATACAGCATATCCTTGGGGGAATGGAAGAGGGAGGCCAGAACAGCAGCATTTAGGAATGACATCAGCATTCGTCAATCATCCACTAAGTCTGCATTACAGGTACAGACAGCATTATTGTCATTTCACAGGTGAACTGCTCACATCGCAGGTAAGAAGAACAGGGATCTGAATGTGAGTCTGAAGCAACCGATTCTGCTCCTACAACAACAATGGGCACTGTAACTTCGCTACACAACTGCTGGTCCCAAGTCTTCACCAACGCAAGAACCAAATACCCCAAGATGGATCTAAGACAACACCCCAAACTTCCTCAAGGCTAGTTGGAAGAAAGCTGAGGGGGCTCTGTGTCAGACCACACATGTGAGCAAATGCATGTCCAGTCACACACAATGCTATGTTTACATGTCATCTCTTTCCATACTTAAACGTTTCTCTTAATTCTCTGCAGAAAGGCTGGGAGCATCAAATCCTGTTGCTAGAAATGCCTTTATCGTCCCCACCCCCTTCGTAATAACATTCACTGAAGGACGGCCTGGGACGGCCTTAGAGGTGCCACCTTGTTTAACGTTCCCACCTCCTCAACTGGGAGGGAGGACACGGGCCCATCCATGCCTCTGCCACCGCCAGGGCCTTTTCACCTCACTCTGAAGTCCCTCTTTGTAAATGGGCTCCAGGTCAGGCTCTGCACTTTAACTGTGGTGGACGGGGCCCTCACCATGGGCTCTTACAGTGGAACAAACACTGGCTTAAATGGCCTCACTGGCACACTCAACCTAATCCCAGGATGGGGATAAATCCACAAACTGAGGGTGTAGGAGCAAGACTGAGGCTGGCTGAGGAGAACCCTACCACAGAGGCACCAACAAAACTCCTTTCAAGGCTTTTCCTATTAAAGGCTTAGCTGCAGCTACAGGGAGAGGTGTTTGTTTGGACTCCCAAAGGAAAACAGCACAACTTCACTCTTCTCCGGAGAGCAAGAAGAAAACTTGTCATGGAGGGGCTGGAGAGTTGGATGGCCCAGAGGTTTAGAGCACTGGTTGCTCTTCCATAGGACCTGGGTTCAATTCCCAGCACCCACATGGTGACTCAGAACCACCTAACTCCAGTCCCAGGGGCTCAGATGCCCCTCTTCTGACCTTTGCAGTCACACCCATGGTGTGGTACACACACAGAGTACATAGAAGAAATTCAATAAAATCAGAGGTAGCAGGTCTTCAGGAAGAATCCTTAGTACAACTTAGTTCCGCTCCACCCCACCCAGCTCCAGTTGGGAGGCAAGTCACCTAAAGCAGTCATTCTTCCAGGAGTGGGCACAGGGTCTCGCCCATAACCAATCATTTCTGACTCCCCCTCAAGTCCTGATAGACTGAGCTGCAGGAGGCCCCACCCACCTCACCTCGGGCTTTTACAGGGAACAGCCTCATTTCCTTTGCTTTCTTCCATCTAAGCCCAAACCTGGGCACAGCCTCCCGGGAACTGGGGTGACCCTCTCACACCAGGCTACGTAAGTGCCCGTTCCTGCCACTCTCATGCTTTTATTTTTGATGTTTGAAGCAACCCCTTCTTGCTGCAGCAGGGAGCCATTTCTCCCATCTGCCTGTAAAGATGATCCAGTTTTGGCGCTTTATCACCAAGGATTTCAGCAACTTTGTTCTACCTCCCCAACTGTAATTACTTTTGAATCATCAACATACGAGGCAGCCTTAAAACTCAGAGAACAGGATGATGAAAAAAATAAAATTAGAAAGTCAAAATAAATCTGCACTGGTAAACAACTTCACTAAGAAACCACTGGAGCTAGAGGCAGCAACTTGCTTCTTTCCAGAAATAAACTGTTTTACACTCCTCTTCACTCTTCCAAAGGTAGACAACGGGTGGGGGTGGGAGATGGTGGGTGAGGGCCAACAACGCTCCCCTCCCTGTGCTTTAAGATGCAGGTTCAAACGTAGTCGGTTTGGCTGCTGCGGGAGCCCAAGCAGCTCAGAAGAGAGCACGCCTTCTCTTGGAATGCAATCAAATTACAAGGGGAGGGGGAGATAGAGACCAAGAGGCTGCTTGCTGGCTTGAGAATTCAGATTCCTCCGGGGAGAACTTTGAAGGACAAACCACTTGCAAAAAAAGAAAACAAAAATGTAACTCCAAGAAAATGCAGCGACACCAGCAACCTGACACTGTCAGGAGCCAGCTGCTTTGCTCTTGGCTGCCTGTCACTCATCCTGCTGGATCAAACTTCAGCTCCGATTTGCTCTGGGCGGCCAGGCACAGTCCAGATTCTTTTATGCCGCTGTGGGCCCCACCATCCTCAGGACACCCCAGGGAGACCCTACATGAGAGGCACTGCGGTTCTGGTTTCTTATCACCAACCCCTCCTCTCACATGCTTCACCTCTGCCTGAAGCGTGGGTCCCTTTCCTGGGGTGAGGCTGCAAAGGGAGCTGGAAGGCTGGCAGTAAATTACAAACACAGGCGAGCTTCCCTCGGCCGCGCTCAGCACAGCTGAGAGGCCAGCAGAGGCGGTAAAGTTGCTGCCTGGATCACGCGGGTGGGTCGGCGATGCAGTGAGAACAGGGACCCTGTCGAGGAGGAGGGGCAGGCAGGGTTTCATCTCTCCTCGGCGCAGGCTGCTTCGCAGGGCCGAGAAACACGCACTGCTCCCCTCCCCCCACCCCACTCAGGAATTCCAGAGAGCCGGGGACACCACCCCAGCTGCTCTGCCCCTAGGCTAGACAAGTTGGGCAGACTCATTGGGAAGTGAACCCCCCAAAAAAGTGAGCTGCTGGTTAATATTCATCAATAGAGGGATGGGGACGTGCACGCAGGCCCACAGCTGGCCGCCTTCCAGGCTCTAGGCCTCAGTCTACTCAATTGTGGCACTGGCTTTTTATGCCCCGTTGGAGGAGAGAGAGAGGGCTGCAACGGTTGGGATTTGACCCCAAAAGCGTGCTCTCCACTCAGTCTCAGTGCCAAGTGGCCACAGTCCTGGGAGTTCTCTAGAAAAAAAAAATAATAAAAGAGGGTGTGGGGGAGCAACGGCGGAAATTTCTACCAGCTATTTTGGACGCATTGCTCAAGCCCAGGTGAACACAGGAAAGAGGAATGAGTTTTGGGGGGGACCCTACAGTGACCAAACCGGGCGATTCCATCGTCCCGGCCCCATCCTCCTTGCCGCCCCCGCGGCAGGCCCAGGCCTCCGCTCCAGTCCCCAGCAACACCCCACAGAGGGCTCGCGACAGCCCTGTTTTCTCCCCCCCCCCCCCCCCCCCCCCCCCCATTAGGCGGCGGCGGCGGGGGAAGGGAGTCCGCGATCCTTTCCCCACAGACAACTGGCACTTTTTCTTTCGCTGCGCGATTCAGAAACACGCCAGGTCTGATGCCATCCGGCGAATTATGTAACCAGGGACACCGCTCCCGGGCTAAACAAACGCGGCTGTGTGTGTGCAGCGGCGGCCCCGGGGGAGCGCACCGGGCAGGGAGGGGCTCCGGCCGGGCCTCGAGGGTCGGGCTCGTGGGCTCGGCGCAATCGCGAGAGTCCCGTGCCCAGCCGGTGACCGCGGCCCTCCCCCACCGCCGCCCCCACCTCGGGCCCGTGAACTTCGTCCCGCGTCCCCGCGCCGCCGCCACGGCCGACCGCCCGGGCATCCCGGGGTCGCGGTCCTGCGTGCGAACTCCGCTCCCGGCGGCGTTCCAGCTCGGGACCCCCTCGCGCCCTCCCCGCGGCGCCGGGAGCGGGCGCGCGGCTGTGCTGTGTGTGGCGGGGGGAAGGGGGGCGAGGCGACCGCTCCATCGCCGCGGCCCGGGTGGGGGCGGCCCGGGGGGCCTGGCGCCACGCGCACCCCGGAGTCTCGGCCCCCGCGGGGGAGGGGCGGCCCGACTGTGACAGCTGCGCGGATGACACCCTCCCGCGGGGCGCGGGCGGCCCGGGCCTCGCTCGGCGCCCGCTGGGGTCGGAGCGCCCGCCGGTGCGCCCGGGCCGGCAGACCCCGGATCTCGCCGGGCTCTCCCGGCCCCTCCCCGCCCGGGGGGCGACGCAAAGTTTTGGGAAGTTGCGCCCCTACCTTGCTTGGTGAGCACCAGGGCGTCTTCCCTCCGCGCCTGGGTGATGATGGAGCCGTGTTCCATCTAACAATCCCGCGGGCCCGGGCTGGCTGGGCGGGAGGACGCGCGGGCGCGCGGCTGAGCTGGGGGGCCTGGGCGGGGGCCCGTCGGGCTCCGGTCCCGAGACTCCGGCTCCCGCGGCTGTTCACATCCCCCCTCGCGTTTCCTCCCCGCGCCGGGAAGGGAGGCGGCCTGCACAGAGGGCGGGCGGCCGAGGCAGCGGCTCCCCCAGTGGCCCCAGCCCCGATCCCTCGGTGGCAGCTCCGGGCTCCTCAGTTTGGGTCCAACATGGAGAATCCGGAGCGAAAACAAGAGGAGGAAATGGGACACGGGGCGGTTTCCAGGCTCCCCCCTCCCCTCCGTACTCCAGATAAACAACCCGCGGCCGCAGCGCCCACCCCCGCGCTCCTCCCCACTCTCGAACCGGCCTCTCCGCCGCCTCCCGGCGCGCCCCGCTCGGGGCTAGCGTCCTAGGCCGCGGGACGGTCCACCCGCAAGCGGCAGGGGCTGCGGACCCTGCAGAGGTTTGCGATTTTCTTACGGAAAAAGCGACTCCCCGAGGGGGGTGGGGAGGCTGGCGGGCGGGTTGGCGGGGGAGACTTGAAACCGCTCCGGCACTCCGATTGGCCCTTCCGCAGAAAGGGGGCGTGGTCCCTCCTTACTATGCGGTGCAAGGACCCAACAACATTCCAGGCGCTGCGGCCACGCCCCCAGGCCACTCCCCGCTTGCTGGGCTGCGGCCTCCTAGTCCTCTCGGCCACACCCCCTTCCCAACTACTTAAAAGGCCACTCCAACGCTCCACTTTCCGTGCTTGGTGCTGGCGTGTTTGTGTTTCCGTGCTTTGCCCGAAGAAGGCTCAATGGTTCCGCCCTAGAAAATCTGGGAAAAATGGAGAAGCCAAACCCGGGTTCGAGTCGGTTACGGTATTTCTTATTTTGAACCCAGGGCCTTACATAAGAATACCCCTGACGAATCTGGACAGAAGTGTTTAGGGGACGGAGCCAGGAGCGTAGAGAAATGGAATTGACCTCGGGACTGGGTGACCTCCACCCTTGGGCCACACTTGTGGTACCTTAGGTGCCAGCCACTCCGATTCAGGCATCCCATCCTGCTGGTCCGGCTCGCCGTAGTTCCATCCTCAGTTTGAGGACAGATGTGCCGTCCCTCACTCTTTAGGCCCCAGGCCCAGGTTTGAACTCTCAAACTGCTCAAGGTTTCACGGGAAGGGCTTCCACTTGTCTGCTAGGGGCAGCAGCTCCAAAGGAGTGCTTTCAACTCTCTGTTGGGCCGTTTTAAAATTGTTTGTTGTGTATGCGTCCCACTGCACTGGAGGAGTTCTGGGGACCAAACTCAGGTCATTGAGGCTTTCATGGGGAACGCTTCCACCCGCTGAGCAGGACTGCCCCCTCGTTGCCCATTTCCAGTGCTGTGCCTTTCGAGAAAGGGATCTGTCCAGGTCAGGACTGATAAAGCAGCCCCATTGCAAGGGATGACTTAGTATGATTCAAGGGAACTGGCCTGCTTAGGAAGCCCGAGACCTTAGTTCCTGGGGAGTGGGGGCCGTTGGTGGCCTTCCCACTCTAGTTCTCATAGTCTGTTTTTTCCTCTCTTAATCTTGCTCAAGTAGATCAAAACCTACAGGGTACTATCATCATGATAGGTATACGCCCTGTGTTCCTTCAAAGTGCGCTTGCTTGCTGCTTCCTACACACAACACACACACAAATGCTTTTTTACATAACACCGTTTTAATGAAAATACTGTTTTTCTAAAATGGAAGTGACTGTTATAGAGGATCTGAATGATGCTTATGTAACTTTAAACACTGAGTTTGGGTAAGGTTCTAATTCATTAACGGAAAGAAAGGCAGAGGAGTTCTGACATACTTGCCTCCACCATTAAACAATAGGAATGGTGAGGTGAGTCTTAGTGAGTGGCTAAGGGACCTTGTTAGACGTTGACCCCGTTCTCTTGCAAGGCAGCTGGGTGGCGGTGGGAACAGCGGTGGCAGGACTTGGGCCTGAGGGAGACCTGCTCCATCGTGTTGGATGAAGCTTCTCCCACATGCAGCCTCCATCCACAGACAGTCTCTCTTCAAATATCTACAAAGTACTTCCACATGTATTTTTTGACTCATTTGATTTTTATTTCAGGTTAGCAGAGTAGATCTGTTTATCTTGGAGGGGGAGAGACATGGTTTCAAAGGCTGATTGATTCCTCTGAGCTTGTGAAGAGGCAGCAGTAGTTGGGGTGAGGGGTGGCATACACCAGTCTTGCCAGCACTGGGGAAACTGAGGCAGACCTGTCATGAGTTCCAGTCCTTCTGCACTCCTTATCTAGGAACTGTCTGTCATTTAAAAGGCCCCTCGAGTCTGGTAACTGTCCTGTTCGCTGTTGGATCTCTTGCGTCTTGGGTATTACCTGCGGAACAAGTGGCCCTTGTGTGCTTGTGCCATGCGTGTTGAGTGTTCTTTTGTGCAGGGGTGCAGTGGCTCAAAGGCAGCAATAAACACTTCATGAGACACTCATCCTTGGCATGTGCATACAGTCTGATATGTTCCATTGCATGTGTCGCCGCCTCCTCTGGCTTTTGTGTTTTAGTTTAGGGTGTTGCCACATAGCTGAGGTTGTCCTTGAACCTACAGTGATTCTCCTGCCTCGTTATGGTGAGTCCTGGCGTCACAGGTATGTCTCCATGGCTTCCATTTCCTTTCTAAAGGTGCTCATAAACAATGTCCTGATTTATCACACATCACATGTATGCCGCGAGTAGAGCTCTAGACATCTCTGAAAGCTGCAGAGGAAGAAGCTTGTTCTGAAGTCAAGGAAAATTTGTGTGTAGCTGGTGGCTGGGGGGGAGACAGACAAGGTGTGAACACAACAGGGATGAGTAGGGAGTGGGGAGAGAGGGAGGAGGAGGCAGATGAGGGAAGGTCTGCCCATAGGACTCTTTGCCCATAGAGTCTGGACAGATACTGGCAGCCTCCCTGGAGACCCTTAGCCTAGACAGAGGAAGTTTGGGCTCCCCCTGTTCATGTGTGTCTCCACTCCAGAAAGCTCTCCAGGCTTTCAATAATGGGCCTCTCTTTTAGAGCAGGATGCTGAGGGAGGTGAGAGGCAGGGCCTCTCTGACTTTTCTCTAATGGACTTATAAATAATCTTCTCCCTAAACTCTAGACCAGATGCCCAGGGGGTAGCTTTAATTTACAGGACTGACAGGTGTGATAGGTGGGGGCGGAGCAGCTAAGAGCATTTGTTCTTGCAGAGGACCAGGGTTTGATTCTCAACACACCTATTGTGGGCTTATGACTATCCATAACTCCAGTTCCAGGGTCCAGTGGGTTCCTCTGATCTCCAGGGCACTACTGCACGTGCACAGGCATACGTGCAGGCAGAATACCCACACACCCACACCCAAAAGTGACAAGTGGAGCCGACTCTCCAGGCCCAAATGCTCTCTCAAGAAGGACCCTGTTGACTCCAGGTTACCTGCCCGTGCCACTCGCTGTAGTTGGCGTGTTGAGAGGCAGCCTGGAAGATGAGCGGCATGTCCCCGGTGCTGCTCAGCGGGGCAGGGAGCACTTCCATGGAGTGGCTGCCTTGTCTTCGTGGGGACCGAGGTCCTGTGGGTGCTCCTGGGCCAAGACTGCAGAGCTGGGAGGGGCTAGAAGAGCTTCCTCTGCCCCTCCATGCTTACCAGGCCCTTCTATAAAAGCAAGCACAGGGAAGGTCAAGAGAGACATTCGTGGTCCTCTCTGAAGTCACCGAAATGGCTTTTATTTATTGTAAAGATTTCCTTATGTATGTGTATGAGTTCTTTGCATGCCTGAACACTCAGAGAGCCCTGAGCTGCCATGTAGTTGCTGGGAACTGAATTCAGGACCTCTGGAAGAGCAGCCAAGTGCTCTTAACCATCAAATCATCTCTCCAGCCCAGAAATATATTTTAAAAATAATTTTTTTTGAGGCAGGGTCTCATGTATCCCAGGTTGTCCAGAAACAATGGTAGCCCAAAATGACTTTGAACGCCATGTATATGTGTGTGTATCTTTTAGTGTGTGCACATTGTATGTGAGCATGGGGCAGCCAGGTCTTTCTCAATCCCTCAGTTACCTTGTTTTCTGAGACAGGGTCTTGTATTGAATTTGGATCAAATCAGTTCGGCTAGGCTGGTGGCCAGTGAGCTCAAGATGAGTCTCTGCTCCCCCTCTCCCTGCCAGCACACCACTTCATTTAACTTTTATCTGAGCACTGGACATAAGCTATCTTCCTCGCCATGGATGACCTTGATCCTTCTGCCTGCATCTCCCAAGTCCAGGGAGACACATCCAGTTTCTGTGGTGCTAGGGAATACAGGCACTCACACTACCAACTGGCCTATATCTTAGCCCCATTTTTGTTATGTGTTATTTATTGATTGGTTGGCAGGTTTAAGTTTTTTGTTTGTTTTTGTTTTCTGAGACAAGGTCTCACTAGGCAGCCCTGGCTGACCTTAAACTTACAAAGATTCACTTGCTTCTCGTGTGTCAGCAGGGCTGGCCATTGTCCACAGTCTGGAGTTTTGTTGTTGTTGATTTGTCGTCTTCTGGTTGTTCCTAAATTTCCAGTCTGAATTGTTGGTGAGTTCACAACACCAAGTTTGCACAGCGTGGTGTCCTCCTGTCATAAGGTTTGTGCTGACGTGGCAAGAGGAGGGAGAGCAGTGGCTGCGACTGAGGTTCAGAGCAGCAGACACTGGGTAGGAGGGAGGAGCTGCTGGAGGGAGCACAGCTTCTCTGTAGGGCTGACTGGGAAACTGCCCATGGCCTTCTGATTGTGGATGATGCATTCTGCAAGATGCTGGAGACCCAGCCCCCGGCCCCACCACTTACTTGACTCTCTCTCCTTCCTCACCTCCTTCATGGCTGGTTGTCAATATTCAGTAAGGAAACTGGTCAAGTTGGGAAGGGGGTGGTCTGAAACACCATTAATAAAATCACATACCAGAGAGCCCCGGCCTCTCGAACAGAGACCTGAAGTCACAGTTCACAGTGAGCCCTTCTATCACCCACACTGAGTCCTGAACATGAGTGAGGGGGTTCTCCCTTTCCATTCCGTTCACACTGCTGTCCTGTCACCAGGCTGGCTGCAGGAGCTTTGGAATGCTGCAGCAGCTCACCCAAGGCCTTCAGGATGAAGCTCAAAGGCCTGACTGGGTATACAAGATCCTCACATCTTTTCCCCCTCCCATCCCGCCATTGCCTACTTTTACCACTGTGAGGAAGACCTTGGATCTGGGGTTGCGCTCCCTTGACACCCCTGTGCCTCCACACTGTAGCGCGGGAATTCGTGTCTGGATGCCCTCTTCGTGGTACCGCCTCACTTTAGATAAGGTTCCTCTAATCCTCCCAGGTCCC